AAAACCTCTCTTTAAATAGTAATTTATAAATCTGTACATTACAGTTGTGTTCTAAAAAGGCAAATACAAACATGTGAGCATTCATCTTACATTTTCCATAGTGAACTCTATTTGATAAAACATTCAAGTCTGGATATTTTAAAACAAGCTAGAATAAGTTTTACCTTAATTCTGATTAAAGAATGTGTAATTTTTATTCAAGAAATATGTATTAAAAAGTAAAATTCCCATGCTCTAAAGTCTGAGTGTCAGTTTTGCTCACTGCCCCTCCACTTGGGAATGGACCCTGGGCCAGCCACGCTGGGGTAAGACAGGACCTGTAGGTCACTATGGACAGGCTCTGCACACATGGGCAAAGTTGGAACGTGGAGGAGACAGCAAACAGGGAGCCAGGACAGGCAATGGGGGCTGTCAGCGTACCTGTCCCCATCCTAACCTCCCGTGGGAACATGGACACACCATGTTGCTCTCCTCCCAGGTCCCAAATGCATGGGCAGCTCAGTGCTGTTCTTCCTGATGTCAGTCCCGAGCAGACCTGAGCCTCAGTGAGGAGCCCTCAGGGGCTGAGAGAGAAGTTAGGCTCTGGACTTCAGGTGACCTAGTGTTTGAACCCCCTTTACTTCCAAATTGCCCTTTCTCCCTGTTTGTTGTGCTACACCTAGTCACCTGGTCAGGGCTGTCTCATTCTGTCACTAAGGAGTGACTGAAATATCTAAGTAGCTAGAAAAATGGAAGTACAATCACGCAGTGGTATTAGGTATCAAGGTAAGAAAATTCCATGAATCCCACCTGGTGATCCAAATATATGGTGTTCCTTTGAAGATGATGAGAAAGAATTTCAGTCTAGTAGGCACAAGCAAGGAGAAAGGGACAGAGAAAGAGGGCGCAGAATTCATGAGAAGGTCAGTTTTGAAGTAAGAAAAACAAGGGAGTCTGTTACATTCTATGACATCACAATACACAACTTTCATATGCATGATCCCATGAATGGTACATGACACATTGAAGTAGTAGAAAATGAGACTCAGTTTTGTAAGGAATTAAGTAGACAGACATACACACATTGAATTACTAAGTAGAAAAACTCTTCAAACGGCTGCAGGGGACTGAATGTTAGACACTGTACATGCTCATACTTTCCTGCCATATAATATTCCTTCTTTCTGTAAGATGCTTTAAACATAACCAAAGGCTATTAAACCATTTGAGAAATATTTATGTGCTCGTTTTTCTCATCAAGAACAAAATACTTTTGGGATTAATCTTTGGGATTTAAAGAGGGCTGCATCATTACAGTTACACTGAATTTTCAACTTACTACTTTACTGGAAATCACAGGCCCCTCAGTGTGTTCTGCCAGCCATGGAAGTCATGGTATTCAGGGAATCCCAGCCTCTGTGTACAGCCACCATCTGGCAGCGAGCAGGTGGATAAAAGACTCTACCTGTTTCCTCAACATACAGACAAGCAGGGCTCTCAAAGGGATGCCTGTCCCTTGCTGCTGAGATGGGCCAGGCTCACGCTCAATGCAGTGACATGGACACACTGACTGATGAGTGACAGACACGTGCCGCACGCTGACCTGCGGGCTGCGGGCCTCCAGCTTGAGCTGCGTGAGCTGGGCCAGCGTGTGCTCCCGGGCGCTGTTCAGCTCGGCTTGCTGCCGCCTCAGCTGAATCAGCAGCAGTGTGAGCTCCTCCGGCTGGGACAATTTAAGAATCCAAACAGTGGAAAAGAGATTAATTGTTGTCCTAAGTGACAGACAGTAAACAAGATTTCCTCTGAGGGCTGGCATGGCGCCTAGGCCCTACGACAGTCCTACATAAGCACAGGTATCTAGAGAGACAGAAGGACAGGGTTACTGCACAGACAACACAACAGCAGCCATCTTCTCAGAACTCGAGAGAGCATTCCAGTGCCAGTGTACAAACACGAAAGTTTGAGAGTGTGTTACAGGATACTAAAAGTCACACCTAAGACTTCCAGGAATGGAACAATACCTGCATGTCCAATACTCTAAAGAAAAGAAGGCAAATAAAAAGATTTGAGGTTCATGTGAAACTTGGATGATATTTTCATCTTACCAAATTCAGTACCTGGGGGCTGTGAATTACTTCCCAGTTACGTTTTGTAATGCAATGCAGCATTAGAGTTTTCACAGCAGTTGTATGAGTCAAACACTGACTTTTTTTTTTTGGTGGTACTGGGGTTTGAACTCAGGGCCTCACTCATGCTAAGCAGTTGCTCCACCACTCCAGCCACTGCACCAGTGCGGTTTTCTATTTTAAGAAAAAAAGACATTTCCCTGGGTGCACAAGCCCTGCTTGGACACCGGGGAAAGCAGAGAGCCTGTTGCTTCCTCACTGGTTACTGTGAGCCCTAAGGAGAATATTGTCGGTGACGGCTGAAATTTCTTAAGACTGACCATGGGAGGGTCAAAGGTCCAAGGTCAGCCTAGGCTATATGGAAGTTCCAGGCCCACTGAGCTATCGAGACCCTATCTCACAATAAAACGAACAAGCAATAGCTGCTTGCTAGACTTGCTCCAGTAATGTGGTATACCAATTTTGTTGTTTCCCTTCCCCTGCAGTGCTGGGGATGGAACCCAGGGCCTCACCATGCTAGGCAAGCACTCTACCACTGAGCTACACCCCTGGCCCCTGGTTTCTGGAGTTGTGGTTTCACTATGCTGTCATGAGTTCACTCTGAGCTCACTAAGTGGCCCCAGCTGGCCATGAACTTGAGATGCCAGCGATGGGTTTGGTAGTTGTGCTGCCAATAGAATATTCTCTGGTGTTCCTCTGAGCTTGCCTGTGATTAGAAGCTGCAGGTGAAGGAGAGGAGCTGCTTCCTGACCCAGTGTCCTCATAAGCCCTGGGCCAGGCTGCCCGTGGCTTTGGGCTTTGCATCGTGTCCGTCGCTCTCCTCTGTGCTGCTCACCTGCTCTTGCTCCTTGTTTTCTACACCACGGGTTTTTTTTTCTTAAACACACAGAACCCATTTTTAACTGATATTTGAAATCATGTTAAAAATTGTTGCCTTGAGACAGGGAAAGCATCAGGAGCAGAGAGCCACAGCCACTGCTGGGTCCCACAGATAGAAGTGGGCATCGGCAGAGGAGCAAGGCAGTGACCCTTCACACTCAGTGGCCGAATGCTTAGTGCATGGGACTTCAGAAGAAAAGCCCTAAGTGAGCAAGAGCGGCACCTTGGGGCCCGGGGACAGCACGTCCCGCACTCTGCCAGGGGTATGGCAGGTGAAGGCAGGGATTTTGAAATGCTAACATACAGAGTGGTATCTGACAGAAAACCCAAAAGAAACCCTGAAATTCTGGTTATTTGTACAGCTGAAAAGAGGGAGAGCTTTTCAGAAGAACGAAAGGTGACAGGAAGTTTGTTACACATCTGAGTTTTGAGGCCAAAGAAAAAGGCCCATTTGAGAGGAAAACAGATGGCCGTGGTGAACCAGGTTTACCTGAGATGTCCACTAAGGGGAGCAGAGCAGAAGAGCAAATAGGCACGCTGTGTCAGATCAACAATGTAACATTTAAAGGATTTACAATCTTTACATGTGCAAGTGCTTTAAAACAAGGGACTATTTCCTTGTACCTAACTATGCAAAAGATGAAATAAGACAATGTTTATTAAAAAATGAGATAAATTTGTTTTGATTGTTGTAGAAGGGAATTCTGAGTAATGAGCAACTGTGTAGGTGCTAAAATTATATCTTCACAGAAATTGAGACTATCTATTGATATTAAAGCCGATTCTCTGATAAGAGTGCTATTGAAATAAGTCGAGGTGGCCGGGTGTGGTGGCTCACCCTTGTAATCCTAGCTACTCAGGAGGTAGAGATCAGGAGGATCATGGTTGGAGGCCAGCCTGGGTAAAAACACATGAGACCCTATCTGAAAAATAAGTAAAGCAAAAGGGGCTGGGGGTGTGGCTCAAGCGGTGGAGCACTGGGCTTACATATCTGAGGTGCTGAGTTCAAATCCCAGTACAGACACATTAAATAAATAAATAAACTGAAGTGATGAAAAGCCATCTTTTCTCTTTGATTTGAAGACAATAGTACCCTGGTAATAAAAATCTTTCCAATATGTGTCTAATACTGACAAGAAATGGTAACAGTAAAACTGGCTTTGGCCAAGCACTTTTTTTTTTCTTGATCCTTCCACCTCAGCCTTCCAAGTGCTGGAACTATAGGCATGTATCACCACACCCAGACCCGGCTGAGTATTTGTACAGTTTTTCTTCCTCTGCATAAGAACATAAATCAGTTTCTTTTGGCTCTAAGGTAGGTAATTACATAAAAATTCATAGGAAAGCCAGGTGTGTGGGTGCATGCCTGTCATCCCAGCATTCAGGAGGTTGAGGCAGGAGGATCAAAAGTCTGAGGTCAGCCTAGGCTACATAACAAGTTCCAGGCCAGCCAGGCTACACGGTGAGACCCTGTCTCAAAATAAAAACAAACAAAATTCATAGGGAAGACTTCTTAGTAGGCCTGTAGAATGGTGACAAATGGCTGCTTGCTGGACCTGTTCCACCACTCACTCCAACTTCTTGCTCCCCTGGACCACCCCCAGTGCGGGGGATGGAGTCCCAGCCTCACGCATGCTGGGCAAGTGCTCTGCCCCTGAGCAGCATCCCTAGCCCTTGGGTTTTTGAGACAGGGTCTCCAGTGTGGCCAGGGCCATCTGGCCTTGAACTTGCGATCCTCTGCCCTTTGCCTCCCAAGTGCTGGAATTCCTGGCGTCTGATAAACTTTAAAACATAATCCTTAGGTAGATGTTTGGAGAAAGGATCTGCTGAGACACTGACATGGCTGGATGATTCTGAATTCTTCTGATGCAGAATCTCTGGCACAGAAGCACTCATGTTTTTTCTTTGGGAGACAGACACCTCTAAAAATTCAACCTAAAGACGAGGAAGGATGTGTGCCTTCCTGGGCAGCACATAAATAAAACATGACACAGAAAATAAAGATACCACACTCACCGTTTTGCCTTGGAGGCTCTGGGGACTAATCGACTGTAAAGTTAGGCCGGCTGGCATTGACCTTCTGTCAGGCACATAGACATGCTAGGAAGATACGAGCACAGTTTCATTGTGAGGTGAATGCCAGGAACAGAAACATTACAAAACACCAAGTTAAAACTGCCAACTGTGCTCATGAAGATGACAGTAATGTTCTTCTCCGGCTGAAGTTCAGATGCTGATGGACTGGGGAATGCTGTGTAGACCGTGCGGGCCATGACCCAGGGATCACTGGACCCCCTTTATACTCTGCTTTTCCCGCAGTACAGGGATTTGAACTCAGGGCCTCACTCTAGTTAGGCAAGCACTCTACCATTTGCATCATGCCCCAGCGCTTTACTATTTTGAGTTAATTTTTGGATAGGGTGTCACATTTTTGACCCACCAGTCTCAGATAGTGATCCTCCTAGCTATGCATCCCTTAGCTGGGATGGCAGGTGCACACCACCCAGTCCAGCTTACTGGTCGAGGTGGGGTCTGGCTAACATTTTGCTGGCCTGGAACCACAATCCTCCCAATCTCAGCCTCCTGAGTAGCTGGGATTACAGAGGTGAGCCACTATGTGTGCCTTCCCCCTTTACTGTCACAGCAAGAAAACTTAGTGACAAGAGTGGCACTGTTTGACAGTTTTACACATCTTAATCTGGCTAGATTCTTGTATCTGCTTCTACATTCAGTCTGCTATGATAATCCTTAGTAAACGTATGTGAAGAAAATCTGATACCTATAGTTGGAAAAAGAAGAACTTAAAGGTTTTTTTTTTTGATGATTGTATTATCTTTGATATGGTATTAAAGCTAAAAAAAGTGGCACTTTCTTAGTTTGGTTGCAAAGTGGTATCTGAGCCCACACCAGTGAGCATTTGATATTTAACTGGTCTGTTAGCACTTTTTCTTTCATTCTTTTTTTTGTTGTACTGGGGTTTGAACTCAGGGCCTTGCACTACCACTTGAGCCATGCCTCCAACCCTACTAGCCTTTTAAACCTCAGTTTCAAACAGTGGCATTATGGAGTCCTGGTTCAGTGATATTCAAGTTCCCAATGGTGACACATTTCAGGATGCAACAGCAAAAATCAAATTTCCAGGCTTGAGGGCTCTAGGAAGCCATGAAGCTCAGAGTGGCAGATACTTGATTTCCAAAATTCTCGTTTTTGGGAATAGGGTCCCACTTTATGCCCAGGCCAGACTGGACTGTGATGCACCTGTTTTAAACTTTCCGCCATCGCTGGGATGACAGGCGTGCAAGATCAAGCGTGCTTTTCTGTGGAGATGGGGTTTTGCAAACTGTTTTTGTTCAGGCTGGCCTGGAATCACAATCTCAGCCTCCCACCATTGCTGGGATGATGGGTGCATGCCATGAGCCCAGCTGTTGGTTGAGATGGGGTCTTGTGAACTTCCTGCCCTGGCCAGCCTTGACCAGGATCCTTCAGCTTTTAGCCACCTGAGTATCTGGGATCATGAGCCACCAGGGCACAGCTTCACCAAGGAATTCTTAAGTGAACCTGCTACTGTACTGGCCTTTGTGCTCCAGTGTGTGCTAGGGAAGTGTACATGACCTCTACAATGGGTTACAGCTACCGTCTTGACTTATGAAAGGGCACTGCTTTGGCAGCGTTAGCACAAATGCTAATAAGATGAATAATGCCTCATTATTACAAAAATAGTTCTGAGTCTACAGACACCTGGACTCCCTCCCCGAGGGCTCATGGACCGCACTTATAGACCTACTGATGTAGATCAAGGGAGATGAATGCAAACTCTGTCAGTACTGGAGGCCTCCTGAGAAGAGCAGTCGTATTGAGTTGCCTGGGGAACTGGGCGCTAGGACACACTTGTCTCCTACAAGTTGACGTGCTGGCTGAGCATATGAAAACATCCAAAATCATGAGAATATATGCAACTTCTCCACTGTATATAACACAGAGTTGTAATAGATCAGATTTTTCTTACGTGCTATTGCTATTTTCATTAATCGCGATTTGGCCTGTGGCTATACAAAGTGACAAAATCCTCGTTACAATGGCAGTTGAAGTGAGCCCCTTTCCCCCTTTCTTCCTGCCTCTCTCTTTTCTCTTCTTCTTCTTCTTTTCTCCCCCTGACATTTTTAGGAGCTGGGATCTGTCTACTTATTCCAGGCTGGTTCCAACTTATGACCCTTTGCCTCAGCCCCGAATCCTGCTCAAAGGGAGTCTTTCTTCTTCTCTGTTTAATTTTCTGGTGATGCTAGGGGTTGAACAGCGCCTCACACCTGGCACTCCAGCACTTGAGCCACACCCCAGTGCTTTTGCTTTCACTTTGTTTTTCAGGGTACGGTCTGTGCTTTTGCCTGGGCTGGACTTGCACTGTGATCTTCCTCTCTCTCCTTCCTGAGTAGCTGGTATTACAGGTGAGAAACACAGATTCAGCCTAAAACTGAGCTAAAGCTTTCTTCAAAAGAAAGTCCCTGATTGATTTATTAATTTCTAACAAATGCTTACCTATGGAAATATGAAGTAAACACTTGGTGCAATAATACACCTGAATGATTTATGCTGTCAAAGATAAGAAGGCACATTTTACAATGGTGTAAAGCAAGAAATTCTTTAGGGTTAGAAAGAGATAACATTCCTTTTCTTTTCTTTTAGTGCAGACATTAAAGCGCTGGGTATAAACAGGCCAGATGATAAAGAACCACTTTAATGTTATGCAAAACTGACCCAAAGCACTAAATTCACCTTAAATAATCTACAAAGTAATCAACTAAAGGCACAAATTAAAACGTCATCTATGGAGCTGGGGATATAGCTCAGGAACAAGAGTGCTTGTCCAAACATGTGTGAGAGCCTAGGTTTGTATCTGTATCTTAAATTTTAAGGGTACATATACCATCAAGCATTGTTAGACTCTCTATTGAATTGGCTACATGAGGAAATCTCAATATACCACATAGGCAGCTAGTTACAAGATGAAGTTAATACTTTTAGTAAGAAACAAGATGAAGTCAGGTGAGGTAGCTTATGCTGAAGAAGGAGGATCATGAGTTGAGGCCAGCCTGGGCTACACAGTGAGACTGTGTCTCAAAAGAAAAAGAAAAAAACAGAAAAACAAACAAACAGAAACAACAGATAAGCTTGCAGGTGTGCCACAACTGGCAAGTGTGCAGAGCCAGGAAGAGTGGACTGGGAAGAGCCAATGACAACACATGTGGTCATAAGCTATTTATATGCTGAGGTGCTTTGAAGGTGATCAGGAGAGTGCAGAACGCCTCTGAATAGAGAATTTTAAACCTGTTGAAATCACTGTAAGAAGGGGACTGAGGTAGAAAGGAGAAAACTAGAAATGAACCAATTTGGTTATAATACATGAGAATGTCACAATGAAACACCCTGTATAATTATCTTAAACGAATAAAAATGTCATTTTTTTTTTTCTTTTACAAAAACAGAGAACAGAAAGGCAAATCAGGTCCTGCCTGGGGACTGGTAAAAGTGGGAGGGGAGGACACAAGGAAAAGGTGTAGGAGGGTGAATATGGTAGAAATATTATGTATTCGTGTATGAAAATGGAAAAATAGGTCCTGCTGAAACTATTCCAGGAATGGGGAGAGGGGAGGATAAAGGAGAATGACAGAGTGGGTGAATTCAACTATGATATATTGTAAAAACTTTTGTAAATGTCACAATGTACCCCCAGTACAACAATAATTAAAAAAAAAAAAGAAAAAGAACTTTTCTCTAGGCACAGGTAGCTCATTCCTGCAATCCTTGCTACTTGAGGGGTTGACGTCGGGAGGACTGCGGTTCAATGCCAGCCTGGACAAATAATTCCTGAGACCTCATCTCCAAGAAGTTACCTAGAGCAAAATGGACTGGAGGTGTGGCTCAAGCATTACAGCACCTACTTTGCAAGCTCAAAGCCCTGAGTTCAAACCCCAGTCCCACCAAAAAAAAAAAAAA